AGAGAGGTGGTGGGTGCTCTGGGAGGAACAGTTGGAGAAAGGGCTGGAGGGAGGCAACATGTCTGGCCTGGCAGTAATAGGCCTTGGGTTACTGCTGGTAACCCTGTCTTCCCCTTGTGGGATTAGAGGAGGTCAGAACACGTGGCCTCCTTGCCATTTTTGCAAAGGGTTTACGGCAAAACTTTATACTATGTGTATAACTTCCCTGTAACACTGAAATTAGATCAAAATAAGCAATTAAAAAAAAAATTAGGGGATGTTAAACAATAAAGTAAGCATTAAGTATCTTGCCAAAGTAAGTGCAAACTTCCTGGAAGAAGAACTCCAAGTGTATTTGTATAGAATTTTCAGGGGTTTACACCCATCTAATCATTCATGCATTCATGTATTTTTTAAAAAATACATTTCTTTTCTTTATCCTTTTCTTTTTCATATATGTACATACATATAAAGCATTCCTGCTAAGTGGAAAAAACTGTACCCTCCTTTTAGTTCCTGACTCCAAGAGAAGCTCCCATACCTGTGGCAGTCCCTGTGTCCAAGGCCACAGAGCCCATATCTTTCTGAAGGCGTTCCAGTTGTTCTTTCTGCTGCTGACTCTGTGCACTGGCCTTTGTATAGAGAGAAAAACATCAAAGGTTTTGATGACTTGCAATAGATGCTAGATTTCTAAGTGGAGACAAGCAATTATACAAAGGCTAGAGGCTACGTAAATGTTGAGGCAGATAAAGGATGACTGACATGAGGACAGAAAACCAAGTAGTGTGGGTCCAGACTACAACATGAGTTCAGACTGGAGGGTTCTGCAGATTGAATTCTGGGATTCAGAAAGTAGAAACAGAAATATAACAAAAGAACCCTCAAGTAGACATAGCAGGAAAGCTCCACACTGAAGGGCCCAATGCAGCTACAGAGGCAGCACATTTGTTCATTGGGGTAAGAGTTGTGAACAACCTCTCTATTCTCTATAAAGAAAAAAAATCTACAACTAGCCTGCATGGACCTTGGAGTATGGGTGGGGGACACAGAGGACTTAGCATATATAACACTAAAATACAGATTATTAAAAATTCAAATGCAAAGAGGAGAAAAATAATTAAGAGGCCTTTCTGCATCCAGTCCAGAACACAGACAAATTTACAAATTCAAATTAACAAATATCTAAAAGATATAGTGATAGCCAAAACAAATGCATATATGTCATCAGGATCAGTACATGGTATGAGATTGTTTTTTAATGGCACTAAAATATGTAAACAGCCTCCTTTCTTACCAGTGATTTCTTCAGACGTTCATATTCAGGACGATACTCCCTGGAAAGGAGAATACTTTTTAATTCCTTTGCCTAATAATCTACCTTGCCTTATGCTCTTACCCTCAACCCCCATCACTTCTATTTTCCTAGAACCCTGACAATGACAAAAGATCTTCACCTGGACAGCAATGAAAGGATACAGATAAGAATGTCTCCTGAGGATCTAATAATGCACACCCCCCCCCCCAAAAAAAAAACTTGTCTCATGAAAATGACAATGTGGTTATTAGGATTTTTGCTAAATATGAAGCCCAAAGCAGTATGCTAATAAGCAGCATATTAGGCCAAGGGCCTAAGAAAAATGTACAGGTGCTCTAGTTACACTTTCCTTCAAGTAAATGGAATTCCAGTATTAACTTTGACAATTAACCTTGGCAATAGTTTTAACAACCATTTACTATGAAATGTGCTTATTATATGTCAGCAATTATTCTCAAACAAGGAGCTCTGGTGGTATAGTGGTTAAGGCATTTGGCTGCTAACCCAAAGGTTCGTGGCTGGAACCCACTAGCCACTCTGTGGAAAAAGACAAGGTAGTCTGCTTTTATAAAGATTTAGAGCCTTGGAAACCCAACAGAAGTCACTATGAGTTAGAATCCACTCAATGGCATTGAGTTTGGTTTTTTTGGTTTATTCTCAAATAATCCTCAGAATAATCTTAGTAATAAATGTTATGACTCCCATTCTACAAATGTGGAAAACTTGCTATTAAGTGGAAGAAACAAATATAATCAATCAACATCTGTCTAAATCCAGATCTATGCTCTTAATCACAGACTCAGGCCAAATGCAGCCCACTACTCTGGTGATGTAGTGGATAAGGCATTTGGATGCTAACCAGAAACCAGCAGTTCAAACCTACCAGCTACTTCATGGGAGGAAAATGAGGTAATCTACTTTAGTAAAGATTTAAAGCCTTGGAAACCCAACAGGGCTCGCTATGAGTCGGAATCAACTCAACAGCAGTGGGTTTGGTTTTTCTGGGGAGTCGTTTTTGTAAATAAAGTTTTGTTGAACATTCACACCCATTCATTCATTTATAGTCTATGGATACTTTCGTCCTTCAATGGCAGACATGAGTAGATGCCACAGAGAGTGTATGGCCCACAGAGCCTAAAATATTTACTATCTGGCTCTTTACAAAAAAAGTATTCTCTTAATCATTCAATAGAATGAATCTTTTATAATGTTGTTTAAATTAAAAAAAGTAATGGGAGTTGTTATCCAGATGTGTGGTCATATCCAATACACAGATGAATGGCAAATATAACACATATGCTATGAAAATATAAATGTTTTGTCCTAGCAAAACTGCCATCATATCAGAATTGTAGATTACTACAAAGGTCTTTGGGAGCTCTGGTAGCACAGTGCTTAAGGCATCTGACTGCTAACCATAAGGCTGTTGATTCACACCCACCAGCCACAACTCAGAAGGAAGACTGGGCAATCTACTTCCTTAGTGATACTGCCTCAGAAACCCAAGGAGGGGTCGCTATAAGTCGGATCTGAATCGATGGCAGTTTGAGAGAGAGAGGGTAAGGGAGGGAGGGAGGGGAGAGAGAAAGAAAGAGACGAAGGTCTTCAATAGGATTTTCCTTTCTCCTCACCTTTCATACTCTTCTGCAGCACTGGCAACTTGCACAAAGAGTTCATCTAAGCCTGTACCCAGAACCGCAGAGACACCCACCACCTGCCAAAGCATCATAAATGCCAATGAGGAAATATTTTTAAATGGTATAAATATTTTTAAATAGTGTACATTATTTTGTTCAAACGTCATAAATCCTTCAAAAAAGACATGTAGATACTTAAAGAACTCTTTGGCAAAAAGTCAAGGTGAAATAAAAACAGCATGCCTAGTCAAAAGTCACAGAAATAAATCTATGGAAAATAAAGAACTGAAAAAGAAAGGGATAATTAGGACCTAACAAATAGCAGGACTTATTATTTATTTCCTACCAAACCAAACCATTCTCTGTTCTCTACAAAAATTAGTACCTCAATGGTTTTGCTTGGAACATACAGGCAGTCCCTGGATTACGAATGAATGCTGTTCCTAAGTCTATTCTTTAAGTTGAATTTGTACTTAGGTACAGTTCATATCTAATGTCAATTACCTAAATGTTTGTTTTAGTATATACTATACAGTGTACCTTTCTATGCATAAAAAACATTAAAGAAACACTTTCAGATACACTAAAACATATTTAACATCGTAATACAGTAAAAATAATAATGTTGCAAAGTGCACCATTTCTTGTTGATTCATAAGTACAGGTTGTATGTAAGTCAGGCATTTGTAACCCACATACTGCCTACTCCCTGCCAATCACACTCACTTTTACTTACATAAATCCTACCCTTCCTTCAAGGCATATCTCTAATGGTATATCCTCCAGAATCTCATCTCAAAGGTGACCTGCCCCCTCACCACCAACACACCCACCTTCCAACCTTTCTTAAGGTACTTACTACAGTATATCTCAGGTTTCAATTCAGTGTATAATTTTCTCTCCTAACCAGATCCTATACTCTCTGAGAGAAGGGTCTCTATCTTACTTATCTTTTAAATCTCTGTAATATTTAATACGTAATGTTTTAAAAGTTATTTTTCAGAACATACTGAACTTCCTTTCTAAGTTGGTTCAAAGTCAATCAGGTGAGTTAAGAGGTTATCTGGAGAGTCCATCGTGAAGTAAGAGAGAAAGTTTACCCTGAGTGAACTATAAAATTCATCTAACACCAGGCTCATGGAACGAGTCAGGTTACTGACATATGTAGTCTCTTGATTCAAGGCATCTTGGAAAGCCTCAAAATCTTGCATCCATTCCACTGCAAAGCTGTGATCAATGATGTCAGTCTGTACCAAAGAGAAGCCAATTACCAGAGACATGAGGTGAGACACAAAACAACTGCAAAGGGTATTTTTTTAAAATTGATAGCACATCATCCATATTTTCTTCTTTTTCTGTCCCCATTTCGTCTATTACAACAAGCCACAAAGAGCCAAAACCACTGTGTAGTATACCTAATTAAATGACAATCTATGTTCTCTTCGTTGAAGCAGACCCTTCACTACCCACTGCCAAATGGCCATGGCCACACTAGACGCCAGTATATTCCAGGCTCTGAAGTCAAGTAGTCTCTTGCATCCTAGCCATCACCCAGCACCATGCAAGTTTTGTTTTTGTTTTCTATTACCACTTCCAACAGACCTGCGGTCTCAACTTCATTTAAAGCCAGGGCAATTCTAAGGCATAACCTATATGCTATGGTTGAAGAACTACTGTATCTAGTGTAAAATAACTTTTGATAAGAGTCAATGATAAATATTCATTTAATTTGATTAAATTCATTTCATAGAAATGCTCATGATCTTCTTTCAGTAAGGCTTAAATCTGTTTTCCAGCACCTTCTCACCCACCCAAACCTTCCAAACACCACAAGGTTCTGATGCAAAAGAAATGCTGAATCACAACAGGAAGTATCCACTTACTTTATTCATGACCACAATGAAAGGCAGCTTGGTTTTATACAAGATGCTAAAAATCAAATACCAAGACATTATGATTAATAGCACTTTTATTTAACAAAAAGGGACATCCCTAGTACTATTAGAAAAGACAAATGTTGTGATGGTATTTGTGTCCACATTAAGACAAGTGAGACATGTCCTTCCTCTCCAAATGTCACACACACTTGGAGCAAACCTATGCATTTTAGAATTACAGATCAATCTTTTTATTTATAGTCTCTTCTCACATTAGGATTTCACTCTACTTATCATAACACACAAAAGCAGCATTGAGACCAGGGCTCTATTCTCTTTAGCCTAGGATTTCATTCAAATGGGAGGAACCACCAGAAGATTCATATTCATACACTACCTACTTTTGTAACAAGCATGGGAAGAAGATCAGAAATTGCTGACAGAGAATACCTATGGTACACATGCCTCTTTTCTCTTCTGACTCACCCCGAACTCAGTAACTAAACTGAGTGGCAATCAGAATGAGTACTAATCTAGGGCTAAGCACTAAGGACAGAAAAACATTAAAAGCAAAAGGGGAAAAGAAGGGAAGAGGAGGAAGCCTCTTACTTTGATGTAATATTATGCCCACCAACAATCAATTACCTGCATGCATAGAGCATATTGGACATGAAGGTCACTGGGTTGGTACTTCGTGATGTGTCCATTACATAGATGACAACTGTTGGAAATGAGGATGCCTAGAGGCACAAAATAATCAAAACCTGATCAGAGGGCTCATGACCAGTTCTCAAACTCTTTTCCTGGCTTCCTTAGAAAGGGAAAACTACTTTAGGTTGGATGTGCAGAGCTTCTTCAACTCACTCCCATATAAAATCCTAGGCAATCAAAAGATGCTAAGCTAGTTTAGCCCTCTACATACTCTCAGTAACAGGTTCTACAAAACTCACCAGGGCCTCAGTGATGATTGTCCCAGAAGCTGACCAGGTAAATACCTCAATCTGTCCAGGTGTGTCAATCAAGACATACCTGTGTCAAGAAAGATCGTTAAAGGATTGTTACACTTGTACAATGCTGAAAGAGAGTCCATCATACAAAACAGTAAACATCTGGTTATGCAAGATTATAATAACCTCTGCACACTGCCAAGTCTTATTTCCTCCCATTGCCAATGTATCATGCACCCCACTTTCCAGGCTTTGTTCAATGTCTCATGTTCACGCAAATGGCAGGAGTAGCAAAAAAAAAGTATTAGTGTAAATAATCACAGTGTGAACTGTGATAGTATTGACACATACTACATTAACAAAAGAGATAAGCAAAACTAGAATGTCAATCTCTTGACAAACTGTCTGGTAAGATCATTGATAACATATAACAGCTAGTTAAAATGGTAAATGTTGTATTATGTTGTAATTTACTACAATTAAAAAAAAAGAACAAATAAGAGTAGAAAGAAATAAATAAGGAAATCAATACCGTTTTCAATAGCTACCAAAAAAAAAAA